AAGTTATTTTCTCTAATTGTAATAAACTACAAGAGTAAGTTGGTCTATCCTGCCCTTTTACACCATAAGCCATCGTCCTCAACCCTAAGCCAGACAGGCTACAATGCTTTCCTTGTCGTGGTGAAGAAACTCCAACTCTTAACATTGATCATGACTCAAAGAAAGGGACTCCAAACATAGGCAGGTAAAATTAGCATCTCCTTGGTTTAGAACTTCACCACAAAGAGTTGATGAGGTTGACCTTTAACTTATAAGTTTACAGATCACTGATTGGTTGGTGTATCTTAGCGGGATGCTAGTTGACCACTTGCTTTGGGGGTTTTTGTTCCACTGGTAGGAGACTCTAAGTTGGAACCAGAATTCGCTTGACTGTTAATTGATCTAGACGTTATGAGGAGCTGGATGTCTGAGTGTCCCTCCTGAACCTCTTACCTCAATGACTAACACTGAAATAAATGGCAGACGAGTTATGGACAGACATATAATGGAAGGCAATGCGTATTCTTTATGTTCCCTGTCCTTTTTCCAAGTTTGGACATGTTGGGAGCAAATAATCTGACTTTAGGTCTCCTTTAGTCATTAATTGTGTCCCAGATAAAATATTATGTCAGTGACTTCCTCTTTCCATGTCTATACTCTGGTAGGAAAAGCCTGATTTTTCATGCAGGATTTTCTGGGTTTTCCATGTCTTCCTACAGATACTGTGATGACAGCTTCCTCTGGTACGAAGAACACACGTTTGAGGTGTGTCGAAGAGTGAAGAGAGTTTCCTTCTCCAGAAGTAAGTGAATTGTAGAGGTGTGAAAATACTGGATCAGTCTCAGCAGAGGACACAAAGAAAAACTGTTCATGACAGAGGAATACTGGTTGATCAGTAAAGAAGCTGTCAAGCATCCTCCACCTTCACTTACTGAGGGGTGTTGTTGAGTCCCACCTCATTACATCAGCAGGTGTTTGTGTTCAAACGTCATTACGATGTTCATTCCTATATAGCGCTAATTCACAACACATTTAATCTCAAGGCATTTTAAAACAATACAGTCGGTCGCTTGTTTTTTTTGGTTGACTCTTCAGCAATCCCTCATGCTAAGCATGCATGTAGTGACAGTGGAATGGAAAACTCCCTTTTAACAGGAAGAAACCTCCAGCAGAACCAGGCTTAGTGTGAGCGGCCATCTGCAAAAGCCTACTGAGTCCAAGGAGACAGACGCTGGCATAGAGAAAGAAGCAGAGATACAAAAGGTAACGGTCAATCAGCTCCACATATGGCCTGGTCCAGAAAAGACACAGCCAGGCAGATGAGCTCCGAGCCAGCTCCCATGTCAGAGGATGAAGAGAGCACATCCAGCCAATCACAGTCAGAGAAACAGGACTACACTGAAAAACAGGTCGAGCTCCAACAATCTATAAACAAAGGTGTTGGTGACAGCAGCACAGCTGATATTTCTCTTCAGGATGGTGTCGCAGCCAAACAGAAGCAGACCAGCAGCAGGCTGAACATATAGCAGCAGAAATATAGAAAATAGCTGACTATTTTGGATGAGGTATTAGGTGTTGCCATAATAGGCCAAAGGCAAGACAAGGAGAAACATCTGTCTGGATGGAATTCTCCCCCACCAGATCCTGCTGTTCGCTCTACCTCCTCCTACTACTCTATTCACCCTCTGACTAAGCAAACATCCCTCTGTTTTTAACTATAAACTGTATCAAAAAGAAATATGAGCAGCATTTACCTAACCGCTGGTAAGTAAGCAGAAGAAAAACAAGCTATACTGTCTACATACGTATAGGATCCACTGAGGTTTTATTTGGTAGCATCTCTTTTTGGCAGCGATGGTCAGATACATTTTAGGTTTGTAGTTTAACCTCTTAACATCCACCTCATTTTGGGAAATCCTCACCTATTTTGCATACCCAAATGGAAAAGGAAATAACTGAGGAACTGTAAGCCTAGATTACATGTCTGATACATTATTTGAAAGCTAACACCTTCTTGTTTCTGAATATATACATGAAAATTGGGTGAGTAAAACACCCAAGCTACATCAAGCCCAAGCTGCATCAGTTCAATGCATGACTCAAAGTTGTTTTTTTTTATTCTCGAAAATAATAGGTATTTTTTGAACAGCAGTTATAAAGACATGCTTGCTTGTTGTGGCTTCTTGTCATGGGACATTTTGACATACTGCTATAGCTGTGTTAATTGTGCTTTGGTGCTCGCTGTGTCCATAAAATGATCTAGGTGGTTGAATTGTGGAGAATCTAAGCTTTCCAACAATGTCTAACATGTCCATATTGGTAAACATTTAACCAGTGTAATTTTCGTGCATTCTGAATTATTTGCAAATGCTTTAAAAATGCTGGGTTTTGAGAGGTTAATAATTAGTTTTACATTAAAATTAGAGCAAACAATTGTGTAGTAGTTCATTTGTTTAGACTGAAAGGTGGGTGGTGTGTGTTTGTTCCTTCATCTCCACTTTAAGACAGACCTACAGATCATCAGCTTTAGTCTGAGGTAAAAAGTCGAATTTCAACCCCAAAATTGACAAAATTTGGGGAAAATTTTTTTATTTTTGTAGGATTTTGTATCTTTTTTATATTCATTTCTTGACAGAAACACATCAGATGGTACTTTGGCTGGATACACTGCCAACTCTTTATCCACCATGGCTCTTTGAGGGGCCATCTAGACGCGTTTTAGAACAGAATAGAATAGAAAATCCCTTTATCGTCCCTAAATTGGGAAATTGTGGTGTTACAGCAGCAGATTATTGCAAAAGTGGTCACACAAATGTGGACCTTAAAAAGTGTATAAAAATCACAGATTAAGTGACAGAGTTAAAAAGATAAACAAATAAAATACTGTAGTGTTTTTTTAACAATATAAATACTGTGCATTTGGAAAGAATAAATAATCAATATACAGCTGTGGACATTTTAACAGTATTAGATATGTGAAAAAATATCAGCAACATTACAGATGTGCAAAACTGACAGCAGTATGTTATTGAAGAAGAAACTGCAAAAATCAGCTCTAATGTAACAACTTATTGAGGTTGTTTGGAACAGTGATGTTATAAAGTCTTACAGCTGCTGGGAGGAAGGATCTGTGATAACGCTTCCTGGTGCATTCAGGGTGCAGCCATCTGTCACTGAAGGAGCTCTCCAGTTCAGCATCAACTTCATGCATGAGGTGGTAGATATTATCCAACAGAGATGTTATTTTAGTTTAGGGTCATTTTGTTTCACACCTCCTGCACTGAGTCCAGAGGACATCCAATCACCCATCTCCATGTGTTTCTGGATTTTGCTTATGCATCCATGTTATGAGTACAAATGAGAGGAAAGAAAAACATCAGAGTATTTATCTTTAGTGTTTTAACAGAGCTTAAGGTCAAACAATTTCTTCACATCGGGCTTTAAAATTTTTTTCAGTTTGTGACTGAATTAAAATAGAGAAACAATACCAAATCTCTTTAAAGCTGTAATTGATGTTTTTTCATAACTGTTGTTGTTTAGTATTTAATTTTTATAGTTGGTTTATAGAATATATCTAAACCCTAACCTAACCCTTAACAGGTTTCTGTCGAAAACACTAAGATGGCTCTACATTATCTGATCCTTTTGATGCTCCGATATATTTTTTACCACAAAGCACTCTGTGCATTCATCCATGGAAGGTGTTAATAAATAAAGTACTTTTACAAAGCAGAACTTCTATTCAAACTGTATAACCTCTTAGGAGTTTGTTCATTAGATAACGAACACTCACAAATCGATAGCGTTACTATGGCAACCTGCAGCCTCATTAAACATTAACATGTTGAGAACCGTATGTCTCCAGTTTAAGGTTCTAAACATCAGTTTCTGCTAAATTTATCTGAAGAAATTTAGATCGCAGAAGGGAACCTTTGCAAGGTGAGGTTGTTGAATGTTTACATGTTTGCTCTAAGGAGGATCATTAAAGCTAATTTTCTTGTTCTCATATTGGTTCTTTTTCCCACATGAAGCTCTAAGCGGACAGAGGTTCCTCCTCTGGTGTTGGATACCCAGCTCTAACCCTCCTTCCTTTTTATTTCTCCCTCCACAGATCTGAAACAGAGATGCTTGTCAAAGATGTGCAGCAAACTGTGACCCATCAGGAAGCGGCAGGAAACAAAGAGCCGTTCATTCCCGAATGTGACAGGAATCCCAGACAACAGCTTCTGGAACAGCTGGAAGACTCACAGAGGAGAGCGTGTGGCTGGTTTCCAAAAGAAAAAAGGACATTTTACATCTTTTACCTGAATATTAGTGACCAATCAGCCATCTGGTTCATAAAATACATGTTTCTTACAACAAATCTTTAATGGGTTTTTAAAAAACAGCTCTTTTTCCTTTATTTTATCAATAAAGAGACTTCAATGAACACTCCAGTTGGTTAGGTTTCTCTTTTTAAACTAACCTGAATCATTTAATGGTAGGTGTGTATTGGTCAAAACTTTAAAAGATCAATAGATTGGCTTTTAAATGAACCTGTTACCATTATATAAACTTAACTCACCAGCGGGGTTGACTTATATTAACCTTTTAATGGTAAATGTGAGGTTAAACCAATAATATTTAAATGCTTGATTAGAATTCTTAATATTTAAAAAGTTTGCACATGACTGAATGTTATTTGACCTTAGACAAATAAAAAAAAAAAAAAACATCCAAGAAGAAGGTTCTGGGTTATCGTCTGGCAGCTCCTCGTGAATCAATAAGTTGGTGCTACGAACACAATTTTCTAACATTAAATTTTAGATTTTGCTTTTTGTTGATTCAGCTAAATGAATACAACTGAAATGGGTCTTTGTGAAGGTAAAATTCATCCAGAGTCTTTAAAAAAGGTTGGTTTGGGTCTGGACTGGAAATAAGAGGAAAGGGAAACTGGTTCCGAAGAGCTTCAGAGAACCTGTAGAGCCATTATTTCTGATAGGAGTTTCTTTTTTTCTCTTTAATGCATTCAGGTCTGTGTGTAGCAGCCGTAGCATCCCCACCTGTTTGAGACAAAGCCTCTCTATCACCGCTGCTGTGATTAAACCAACAGTCCTTCTGCTTCGCTGAACCCCTCCATTCCTTCCTGTTCGCTCTCATTGATCAAATGAGTCCAGTTTGTTCCTCCCCAGGTCAGAGATCTAGACCCCACAGGACAAAGGCCGCTCTGTGGATCCCCCTGTGGGATCCCATCTGTTTAGAAAAAAACAAACCCTGACATACCTGTGCAAGAACCGGACCTGGATAAGCTTCTGCTCAGGTGTCACCTGATAGCCAGTAAGAGCTGATCTTAAGAGGGCTGAAGGTTCTCCTCCTCGTTTTGAGTGGTAAACAGCTGAAGGAGCTGAAGATTCATTCTGCTGGGAAATAAAACCACACAGAGACGTTCTGACCCCCTTTAACGACTCCAGAGGCACAACTGGAGTGTATCTGGTTAAATGGTGTAGAGTGTTGCTCAACTTCAGCTTCTACAGCCAATAAAGAAAAACTGAGGTAAGATTTTCCTCTTGGCTTTAAAGTGTAAAATAAGCTTGAGATCATGTGTATCTGGAAATTAAAAATAAGTGTTTTTCAAATATTCTTTTCTTTTTTATTTACCCCAAAGTAGAATATTAGCTAAAGTAAATTCTTGCATCTTCCTTCTGGATTGTTTCTGTTCTGGAATGCTGTCCTTGGATTCAGTTAGTGGTGAAGTGAAAACATGCAGGGGGCCGGTGGATCAATAGGAAACCAAACCACAAAACAAACCAACAGCAGGAGCTAATCTAACATGTACAGTTTAGACAAGTAATGTAGAGATAGATGATGTCCTCCAGATGTCTATGCTGCTGGCAGCAGATCCTAACAGTTTCTAAAACTCTTTATAAGAAGCTTTCTAACACATTGATATCAGCATTGACTCTTCTTTGTGTTTGATTTCAACTCTTAAACCTAATCTTGGAAAGGCGACCCATACTTGCTGCCTTGAGTAGGCTGCATGTAGCCGGCTCCTCTTTCTTCAGAAGTCCAACTTTTCAATTAGATTGCTTCACATTATTCCATCTTTGAAAATCCACAAATTTTCTATAACTTTTATTCCTGCTCTTGAGTGCCATCTTTATCCTACTCTTTATTCGCGGGAATATTTGTGATTGAGAACTTGGAAGATGCTTGCTTACCTGGATGAGAAGCTACTTAACAGAAGGACTGGGATGGAAATCTTGTATTTAGATGTTCCTGTTAACTAGGACGAATCAGCTTCTTCTGTCTATCCTTCTACTTCCTATAGATTTTTTATGTTATGATGGTTTTCTTAGAAAGAAGAGACTTCTCTGGTCCCCTCTCTTGTACTCACATCACCTTCTGCCATTTGTGACCAAGCTCTGCACTGGTGGCAACCTAAAACTAGAGGTACACTATTTTTCATTTGATTTATACCAAATTAAAATGATGAGCAAAACATTCCCCATAAAAGTACAAAATTGTATTAAATGACATTAAATTATTTATTTTTCAAAATTCTTTTAAAGACGTTCTTAGTGTCTGTCTGTGTTAAAAATTTGAATCATATCTTTCTACATTTGCTTTCCTCCTGCCAACTTCCAACAGCTTTATTTTGCTCCTGTTCATGTGGGCACATAAAGCACATCTTTGTTTTTAATTTAAGTTTAATTGCAGAGCAGCAATAAAACCCTGAACCAATCAAACCTACACTACAGTATATACAATAAAACATGAGTAGGAAAGCTCGCTTTTTCGTTGAAATAGCTTCTTTTTTGTTGTTGCCACAATTCAACACAATTTCAATGATAATATTGTACATATGTCTTCATGTTTAAAGGAATAGTACACCCAAAACATGATTAGCCTTCATTTTCTACTCACCCCCATGCTGAACAACACTCATCTGGTTTGGTCTGCCGCGGTTTCCGTAGGCTCGTGAACTCGCAGGCGCGCGCTTTTAGGAAATCCTATACACTACTGTTTATGCTCTAAAAACATTCTAAATGACTTCGTTTCGAGTAAATTATGGACGCTACCCACTCAGGACACTTGGAATACATTGGACGGGCAGTATGGAGGAATATTGACACGTTTTTTGTGGACTTTTATGGACCTTTCTGTCTCGGGCACCATAGACCTCCATTATTTGAATGTCAGCAGACAGCAAGAAGCCTCCCAGATCTCCAGATGCATTTGAGATATCAAAAAAGTACTCCAGAGTGTTGTTCAGCATGGGGGTGAGTAGAAAATGAAGGCTAATAATGTTTTGGGTGTACTATTCCTTTAACTCCAAAATACTTTGGTATGTTGAGGAATTCGCTGTAAATAACAGGTCCTGCTCTTTCCAAATGGGCCCATGGCATCACCCCTCCACCTCTGTGCTTGATAGTGTCACGAGGAACCTTTTCTATGATTGTTCTGTCATGACCTTTAACATCAAACATGCTAGTTGGAGGCTACAGAATCTGACATGAGGTCTTAGTTTCACCGGGGCAGCCTGTAGTCTCTGATATGTGCTTGACATCTTTTATTTGTTTTTCATTAAATCAGTCTTTACAGCTTTTTCAGGGCGTGGGATCACAGAGATGTCTCTGTAGTCAGCTTTCTCCATCAACATGGATGCTTTGAGGCCGGTGAAATTTAGCCCTGGCTCCACAACATCCACAAGCCACTTGTGGGTGTTGTGGAGCAGAGCCACAGGTGGGCTGAGCTGTTTGAAGCCATTAACGGCTGATGTAGCGAACGCTGTAGGTCTTCTTTGGCGCAGCAGTAATAATCATTATAATGATGGGGGTAATTTATGGAGCAGGGTGTGAGATGCCGGAGTAAATGCAGGTCTCTGTTACAATCAGGCAGAGAGCAGCTGTGGCATTTTTCCTCGTCCTCCCTGATGACTGCGATGAGTCTATCTGGAAGATCAGCAGGTTTATCTGGACTTTCTCAGGGTTTTTATTCCGGGACAATGAAACGAAAAAAAAAAAAACGCAAACAACAAATGTTCCTATGTTCCTAGCACAACAACCTTTCAGCAAAAAAAATGTCTGTTTTATCCATTCAGATGTTCCTTCTTTTGTTCAGTTATCCATCCGTCAAATTGTTCATCCATCCTTCCTTCCATCTGTTACTCAATCCATCCAGGCTTTGATCAAGTCGTTCTTTCATCTATTCATTCACCCTTTCATCTTGCAGTGCATAATTAATTTTCACTCTTATTCACCAAACCGTCCAGCCATCCTCCACCAATCGATCTGTCCACCTTTCCCTTCTGTTGGAAATAGATCTAACTCTTCCTTGAGGTGAGAACCCCCCTCCCAGTTTGAGAAGCTTTAGATAGAGCTTTCCTGACCTCCGTTTTTCCCTTTGACCTCCATCGACTCATCTGATGGGACCATTGATAAGCTCCAAGGGCATGTCCATCTACCCTCTGGAGGAAGCTTATCTGACCTGTTGGTATTGGCATTTATCTCTGTCACTACCTACAGTACAGCCAGAAGGGTCTGAAGAATTGCTTCCCCATCCACCTCACTAGGTTATCTGCATCACACAGACGGTCCAGTCTGGTTTTGTTCGTCTCTCCTCACTCATTAAGGTCTGCACCTTCAGAGATATCTCTTCAAGAGGAACAAGCACTAATGTTTGTGATACATTGTTCATGTAAAACATCAAACATCAACGTGAGGAGTAGTTTAAGAGTGTCTGTTTGAAATAAAGCTGCTCGTAGTATCTATCGTGGGAGTGGACTTTTGACAGAATCCTGATGAGCTACAGAGGCACATAAAGGCAGTTACAAGGTCAGCCTTTTATCACCTGAAAAACATCCCCAGCATTAAAGGACTAATGTGCAAGCAGGATCTAGAAAAATTCATTCATGCATTTATCTTTAGTAGAATTGATTACAGCAACAGTGTCTTCATAGGTTTGTCTAAAAAGTCCATCAGATAGCTGCAGCTGATCAAACACTCTGCTGCCCGTGTTCTCACTAGAACATCAGCCCGGTTCTGAAATCCTTCCACTGGCTCCCTGTAGCTCAGAGAAAATACTCTAAAATCCTTCTGTTTTAATATAAATCAATGAATGGATCCAAACCTCAATCCATAACAGATCTATTGTCTGTGTATCAACCTGCTAGATCACTCAGGTCTTCTAGTTCCAGCCTACTCTGTTCACCCAGAACTAGAACCAAACATGGAGAAGCAGCATTTAGTTCCTATGCTCCACTTATGCATTCAGGGCCGCTGGAAGTAATAATAAACAGGGTGTGCTGTGAAAATGTGTTTTGTTTTTTTGGGACAAAAGACCTATGAGCCTAGAGGCCTATTTAAAATAAAATAAAATAAAAATTATAATAATTAGATTGAGATTAACTACTTTATTGTCATATACACTTCAGTGTACAGTACGCAACCAGGGTCTGTAACACACAGACATCATTAATCACATTAATCAGTTCTCAGGTGACTATATGCGCTATTAATTAAACTTCACAATAAAGAACTTTTCATTGGCTTTAAGCCAATTTGAAAAGTCGGCATTCACGGTGGGGGTTATCTTTCTTAAATTTGTCTCTAGGAATGACTTTTTTTTCTGACTGCTTTCTGATGAAGAAAACACAAAATATTATCAGTCTCTTCCACATAATGTAGCCACTGCAAACCTAGCAAACCGGTCCCACAGTACGTGAGGACATTTCATTACCACAACGCCGTGCAGGAAATTTGTACATTTACTTGTCTGCTGCCGCGAGCGGAATACCTCGGCAACAGCTAGCTTGCTCGACGTTGCAAACGTAACTTTCTTGAATTTGTGTTGCCTAGGCCTCAAAATAATATAATTAAAATCCAAATACACGCAAAAATATTTTCATATATTTATAAGAAATGTATAAATTGTGCAAAGTATTTTTAATGCATTTTTCAAAAAGTCTCCCTCTCGCTTCTAGGGGGTGCTGCAGCACCCCCAGCCCCTTCCACTTCCCGCCGCCTTGCCTGCAGTTACTGACCTCTGTAACCACAGTAAGAAACCTTTTTGTTCCAGAGACAAGTTGGTGAGCAGGTTTGAAGTGGGGTCTGGGCAACAAGTGGCTCATTACAGCCAATATAAGCTCCTACTGTGGAAGGATGCAGCTGAGTTGTATGAAGAACAGGTTTGGCGAAAAGAACTCCAGAAGCTTTATTTTCCCCAACCAGTTTGGCCCTTAAGCAGTCTTTCTTTGATCAGTGGTTCAGGGTGAATTCCCTGATTAGATGGACTGCAAGGTGCCTCGCCTGGACCGGAAGAACCAGAATCTGAAGTCAACTGTTAAAAAAAAGTTGCTTTTTGTACATTAAAATACTCCACCCCTACAGTTATTAATGCAAAACCAGCAGATGTTGGATAGTTTGGACATGCTATGTAACAAAATACATATTTGATTTCTCATCAGATTGGTCAAGACATAGATTTTTAGGTGATCATACATTATTTATAAATTCATAACTTTAACATATAGTACTGTTTACTTTACTTACCCATGTCACAAAAGCTCGTTTTTGCACAGAGCCCCCTTGCTGAACTCGTTGCTGTGGAGCTGGTCTCTTCAGCGTCTGGTGACAATTTCAGTTTTGAAACATGCACGTTGCTTTGCTGCGTTTAGGCGCTGTTACGCCTCCACTGTATTTACTGATTTTAGGCATCATTTTGCAACAAAAAAGCACATGGATGGTCTAATCGGCACGACAGCCTTCCAAAAAAGAGCTCCTATAAAAAAAAGTTATCAAATGTAATTAACGGCTGAAGCTCTCTTTCTGAGGTGAGCTGTGTCTGTACAAAAATTTATTCTAGACAACTTTATTAGTCCTAATTTGCCGATAAGAGCATCAGGAGGTCCCTACGCTAAAGGAACAATGATAGGCACCTTCCTTAGGAGCAGCGCTATTCCGAATTCATTATGGCGACCGCTGACACACTTCTGCTTTGGCTTAAGTGGCCTTACCAAGTTGCTTAATGGGATGGACCCACAGAGGTCAAAGCAGTCATGACTGAAGGATCATGTGTGGAAGGGCCGGTGCAACTTGGATTTAGAGCCAGATAGAGGCCTTGGTGGTCTGTTCTCTGGTTGTTTAGTCGGATGTATTCTTTTACAACATCTACTTTTCAAAACTTGATCATCTGTCTTTGTTTTTATTTTTTTTATAATATTTTTGCATATAATATTTTTGCATAAAATGCTCTCTGTGTGACTGCAGGAACTCATCATGTTTCTGCTGTGGATCTCCATGCTGGTAGCTGCTTTCAGCGGTGAGTTCCTTCCCAAGAGCTTCATCACTGAGCCTCCTCCTCTCTCTTCCATGATGGTTTCCTATAATTACACTAATTACACAATGATTTATCAGTTAACAACCGATGTGTTAAATGTTGCATGCATGAATTAAATCAGCTTTTTACTCTGTTTTTCCCCACAGGGCTTTCTGGCAGCTCCTTGGTTTGTCCGAACCCAGAGGACAGCAGCCAGAACGCTGCTCATGTAATTGGTGAGATTCATGTCTTTTTTTGATCTTTTTCTTTTTTCGACTTTTAAACTTCAGGCATCTTGACGGTCACAACACAGAGTGCTTGGAAGAATTTTAATTAATGACTCAAATTAAAGGTTGCTGGTTCACTGGGTCGAGAGGATGAGTCTATGTGATGCTGGATCAAAGCCTGCAGGAAGCAAACTGTTTTCTTTGGGGAATCTGGTATAAACTAGTTTAATTAGTGGGTTTTTGTGTTTGTGAAGCAAAAGCCTTTTAATTTCAAACCAAAGAAAAGTTTATTAGATGGTGTTGGTTATTATGTGAACTTGTGTCAAGCTCTGTTGTGAGCTGTAGCTCATTGTTCCAATGCATGAAACACATAGAATCTTTACTACAGCAGTAAGCATTGGAGATGGTTTTCCTCACATCCAACTTACAGTTTGATGTGTCCCAGCTCCACTTGTTTATTTACCCATCACTCAAACTGTAAATATAGGCAACTTTAGGCCTTTTCTTGTAGCCATTTCCCTAATGACTGAGGTTCAACATAAAACTCACAACTTAAACAGTTCCCCCTCTACTCTCCCATTTTTCAGATGTTACATGATAGTTTAGGCAATCAGAAATTCATTGACTATTTATTTAGTGTCAGGCGATATGTATGAAAAAAAAAACTGTAAATGAAAAGTTTCAAAATATCTTTTAGTTGAATTTAATCTCATCCAGGAGGGGTGTGTCCTGCAAGTCAATGACTGGATGCAATCAGCTAGTTTTCCTATCTTTCAATATGAACTTATTGAACTGTCTCCATTAAGTGCCTTGAAAGGACTTGTGCTGTGAATTAGCAAGTTTAAAAATAAATGTTTGACAGTAATTTTGTCATCACATATATTTAGTAAGAAAGAAAAACTTTTTTTCTAAATAAACTAAATGGAATTGATTTGCCCTCCTGGAACCAGCGAACAGGGTAATTAATAATTAAATTTCACTGTTAAAGCTGTAAGTCAGATAAAAATCTAATGAAAGGTAAATTTTTTATGTAATCAAGTCCATCCTCTTGCTTTGTCAGATTGTCTGGGTCCGCGCTTCACCTGGCTCAACGCTGTCTTCGATAATTTCCCCCTGCTGCTGAGCTTTGTGTCTAAGCTGCGGTGTACATCAGGGGTTTGTCCCCGGGACCTGGAGGATTACGGCTGTTCCTGCAAATATGTGGCGTCTGGGAACCCTGTGGATCCTCTGGACACGTAAGAAGGGCCCAGATTAACTCAAAAGGCTTGTTAAATCCACAATTTATTAATCCAAGGTAGAAGTGAAGCACACATTTTACTGCTTATTTTAAATATTTTTTTCATGATGTTGAAGTTAGCAACGTGACGACAGCTGTTTAAGACATGCAAAGTTTTCTGTAGATTTTACCTGATGATATCTCCTCTTCAGGAATTTCCTTGTTTACCCTTAATTTTCTAATCTTTGATTTTACTCCCTTCAGCTGCTGTGCCATTCACAGACAGTGTTACCAGGATGCTGCCCCCTGCAGGCAGCAGCTGCCTCCGCCGCCTTATAACTTCAGCTGCTCTGCAGCAAACAGCAGCTGTGGTAAGTCTCAAACTAAATGCAATCCCTACAGATGCTGCAGGAGTGCGTGGGTTTACAGAACCTTATTTCTCTCCTGCAGAGTTTGATGACCTGTGCCAGCAGAGGTTTTGTGAATGTGACCAAGCTGCCATCCACTGTGTGACTCAGAGCCCCTTCAACTCAACTCTGAGGGGCCTTGCAGAGTCGTTCTGCTCTGCTGGAGCTGTTACAGGTGGCTTTTACTTCTTGGCCTTTTTTAACCCCAAAAAAATGTTTTCCTTTTAGTTTTACAGTGAACTAATTGGAGGTATATACAATCCCCTAACTGGAAAATCAACAGTTACACTTAAAATTTTTTATCTTTTACTGATAATCATATCAGATAGTACAGACTCAGAAAAAAAAAACGTACACCTCTACAAATATTAGGGGGGGTGTTTCTTAGCAGTTTATTTGGTTATTTGTCATTTTCATTTGACCACATTTTCCCCGATACAAATCAACCAAGCTTGTATTTGCCAGGGTTTAGTTGAGGTTTTGAGACCCCAAATGCAGAGGCCAGGAGGCAGAGGTGAGTTCTTGTAGTTTTAATGGAGCTCTCACAGGCAACAGAAGCAGGAATCCAAAAATCCGACATAAAAATACAAACCAGAACCATGGAGACATCAGGGAAAACATGCATGAGGAGCCAGGGGAACATGAGGAACCAGGACGGAGGAACTGCACAGGGAGAGTACTTATGGGGGACTGAACACAGACAAGACTAATGAGCTGATTAGGAGCAGGTGTGAACAGAGGATTCTAGAAGGAGCTAGGGAAAAAGGAGACCAACACCAGAGAGGAACAGGGGGCAAGCAAAGAAAGACCTAAGAACTCAAAATATACCCAGAAAACACCAATAAGGCTAGAAAACAAGGAAAAACATGGATCAACGTGACATTGAAAACTCACAGAAAACTTAACAGAACCAAGACTGTGACAGTATTTCAAAAACATTCAACTCACTGCCAGTGGTGCTTAGATTGGTTACAGGCCCTATCCATCTCGAAACCAGCTTTGTGTTTTGAGATCACTGGCCTCATTGATCCCCAAATGAAGAGTTTATGGATGTTTTTATAACTCTTTACAGGTTCTCTTAATACAATCTTTGGTATGTGTACAATCTGTATCACTCAGACTTTTTGGGATAGAATTTGCCAAATTGGCTCGATGAAGAACGGCAACATTTTGAGATAACTTCTCTTTAACTCTTGAAGGTGTAAAAGAATGCGGCTTCAGAGCATAATGCTGCCGCCACTGTGCTTTATAGTTGATACAGAGTCTAGGGCTTAAAAGCTTCAACTTCTGTCTGACAATTAAGCTTTATTTCTAAGTGAACAGCTGCCTATGTTTTGCTTTGCATCTTCTCAGCTGATGTCGGTCTAAGACTTTCCTCACTTTAGAAGGTGACCTTGCTAATCCAGATGTTTCCAGTGCATTCAGCTGGTCAGGGTTCGAAACCAACTTTGTTTTGACAATTTTTCCTTCAGACTCTCTTGGACTCTATTTATTTTTCTGAATATGTGTCAACCCAGTAAGTGCTGTCACAATCAAAACCTTCCAATGCCAACAGCAACTAGCAGCTGCACTCCACCAGCTTGGTTGATGAGTGGATGTAGATATCAAGTATAGCTTTATCTACTTAGATAAATGACTGAGCTTTGGTGCTGCTGCTTTCAAGAAAGCATATTTTCTCAGTTCTGGTTCTGTTAATTGCTGGTAGAGCTTCATTAGGAGTTAATCTCTTAGTCACATCATCTTCTTCTCCAAACGATCCGGGTTAGAGACTAATTGGCTAGTAAGATCTCTCATTTGTTTGGTATTGCATCTTAAATGGAGCAGGTGAGTCTGAGACAGGAAGTAGTCCTCATGCTGCCCGCGTCACGCTTGAAGAGGGTCGGCAGAGTCGGATTGCAGGAAGCGGCTGACTCACACCTCAGCCAATTAAAACAATGACCTCCTGACGTTCAGTCCTGCTGCTTCTCGCCCACGTTCATCTGGGAACTGGAAATTCATTGATTTTTACAGAGCTGCTTTGATCCACAAGTGTCTAAATATAGCTGTAAGAAGGGGCTGAGGGGAGCTGGAGGAGTTGAAGTGGAGGTTATTAAAGTAGAGAAGTCAACTTCACAGAGGAAAGTTAGTGAAGCCTGCTGGAGGTCTTTAGGATGCTTCAAATTGAGTTTTTCTCCATGAATACTGATGCCAGCGTCCTCTGTTTGAACCAAGCCCAGCACATGGTGATTGTTCCATCACTGAAGGACAACCTTGGTTTTAAAAAACCTCTGTTAATGTAGAACTGTTGGGTGTATTTGTGCAGACAGTAACTGTCCTCGTCCTTCCTCTTTCCAGATGTTCTCACAGCAGCTAACGACTCTGCAGCACATCAGCTCCCTCACTCCTCCCTGCTGTCTGCAGGTAAAGATCCAATTTTAGGAAATAAAGGTTTGGACTCTTTAGTCTTTAAATGGGGAATAATGAATTATTCTAAAAGCAGAGCATTTCTGAAGGATTTCAATAAATGAGCTGAGTACTTTAAATGTGACTGATCCATATAGGCAATGTTTATACACCTGATGATATTCACATTATTTGTTGCATTCATTTAACTGTTGGTATGGCTAAAAGTGAGAGAAATCTACATAATGTCTTATTCTATGTAATTGTGAAAACTTGAGAGAAAAATAAATGTTAAAAAATGTAAGAATCTTTAGTTTAACATTGTAGTTTTCTGCATTTCTTTTATTATTTACATATTCTGTAATAAATAAAACTGCTAAAAAAAACACAATTAACATGACTTAAATAATCTCTATTACCCATTATTGAATAAGACAGACCATTAAATCTCAGGGGGGTCCAAGGCAACCTCTCTTTGATATACTTTCAAGGCTGTCTTAAGAGGTTATTTCAAATTTTTACAGGATTAGGTTTATTATGTGAGATCAACATGATACTTTCGAGCACTTACAGTATAAACCATTATGTCACGGTAGTAAAAACCTATTGGTTACTTTCCTATACCTTCAAGCTTATTTTTATTAATTAATATGCATCAATAAATGTATTTATTAATGGATTTCATTTTACAGGACTTACAGGGTCCTACTCTAAAACGTAAAGGTTACTGTTTAGAAACCTGATCTGTTTTTTTTTTTTATCTTTTCCAGTTCCATGTATAATTATCATTACTTACTGTCTACTTCCCGGGTTTATTACAATGACTTCAGGTTAGTTTATAAAATAAAACACAAAAAAACTAGCACAGCATATTTAATTTGATAGCTGATTAAGAGGCTTTTGTTGAATTGCAATAATCAGAATCAGTTGTGCTAAAGCAGAGAAACCTATAAAAACCTGCATGATAGCAGCCCTCGAGGACCGACTTTGGGAATGCCTGAATTAGAAGTTCTTGAACTTTCATTTTATGGAGCTAGATGATCAGATTTTAAGGATCTATTTTCTATAACTTACATCGACTTTGTCAAATCTTAGTTGTTATATTCAAAGAAATATCATGCTACCATATGGAACTTTTTTTTTCTTTTTTAGAATTTGCAGATTTTCTAAGCTATGGTACAAACTTTCTAAAACTTAAAGATTATATTTTCAGATTTAACAAAAACCTTCGGAATGTTGAGGGTGTGTTTCTCAAATTTTTAACTTACTTTATCAAATCTTAAAGGTTACAGAACTTTTTAAAGGTTACTTTCTGGAACTTGCAGAGCAAACTCATGGTACCTTTTTAAACTTACAGGCAGCATTTTTACTATTCACAGCTTAGTTTCTGAAACTTCCTCAGCAAACTTCCCCAGTCTTTTCCTAGAACATCTGGCTGTTTTCTCAAGCTTATAGAATACTAATACAGAAATATTAAAGGAAACCACAGACTCAGCTGTGGTAATAGAAAAAACATAAAACATGTCATGGGTTTCTGTTATTGTGTGTTAGAAATTAACTTGTTTTGATTTAGGCTATCTCTGATGCTGCAGATTATGGGTGTAGATATCTAAAAGTTGTTTTTATAAAACTAGTTTAATACATATCTTATCAGCTTATTACAACTTTATTTTGAATTTGATATTAGCATGAAAAGTGAAGATAGTGACGCTGGGAGTTGGTGAAAAGTCAAAGTTATCTGGTTGAGATAGACAATGACCCATAACTGTACCGTCATCCTGGTACGATCAAAGATGCAGGATTGCCTCTCAGTCAACCTATGTCTACTTTAGCAACACAGCTTCTAACCCTTTCAATAAAAAAAAGCTCCAAACAGAATCAACTCATTTCAGAAATCAAAGGAACCATGTCAACATTCAGGTTTCTTGTTCTGATCTGAAATCTGATAGATGCGGTTTGTCTTTTAGAGGAGCTTGAAGAAGGTGCAGGGGAGGGAAACCAAGAAGAGACGAAACACCACAGCTTGATCTTTAGAGGTAACCATTTTAATCTCCTGTTTTCGTTTTTTTTTTTTTTTATTTCTCTGGAAATCGATCTTTTCCCTCAGCTATTTGGGGCCAATGGTACCACAGCTTTCATGGCACCAGAAATGATTTCTCAGCTGTTGGCTCTTACCTCTGAATGACTCACTTGGCTCAGAGGTTTCCTGTCGCTGCATCTACAGATCTGAATGAGGAAGCAGGCGAGTGGGAGGATGTAGCTGAGGATCAGACGACCCAAAGTCCTGCAGAACTCAGCCCTGGTGAGCCAGAAAAGGCAGATTCTCTAAGTCACGACAGGAAGTTATATGAATACATTTCTAATAAGGAGCATCGAATCATCCAATGAGGTGTTCACCAGAGGAATCTTCCAGGTTGAGCTATAGTGACATGAACAGACAAGGAGACACAGAAAAAAAGAAGAGACTATAAAAAAAAAAAACACACACATATATATATATATATATATATATATATATATATATATATGTGAAAAAAAGAAGAGACTATAAAAAAAAAAACACACACACATATATATATATATATACATATATATATATATATATATATACATATATATATATATATATATATATATATATATATATATATATATATATATATATATATATATATATATACACTATATTGCCAAAAGTATTTGCTCACCCATCCAAATTATTGGAATCATGTGTTCCAATCACTTCCATGGCCACAGGTGTATAAATTCAAGCACCTAGGCATGCAGACTGTTTTTACAAACATTTGTGAAAGAATGGGTCGCTCTCAGGAGCTCAGTGAATTCCAGCGTGGAACTGTGATAGGATGCCACCTGTGCAACAAATCCAGTCGTGAAATTTCCTCGCTCCTAAATATTCCACAGTCAACTGTCAGCTGTATTATAAGAAAATGGAAGTGTTTGGGAACGACAGCAACTCAGCCACGAAGTGGTAGGCCACGTAAACTGACGGAGCGGGGTCAGCGGATGCTGACGCGCATAGTGCGAAGAGGTCGCCAACTTTCTGCAGAGTCAATCACTACAGACCTCCAAACTTCATGTGGCCTTCAGATTAGCTCAAGAACAGTGCGCAGAGAGCTTCATGGAATGGGTTTCCATGGTCGAGCAGCTGCATCCAAGCCATACATCACCAAGTGCAATGCAAAGCGTCGGATGCGGTGGTGTAAAGCACGCCGCCACTGGACTCTAGAGCAGTGGAGACGCGTTCTCTGGAGTGACGAATCGCGCTTCTCCATCTGGCAATCTGATGGACGGGTCTGGGTTTGGCGGTTGCCAGGAGAACGGTACTTGTCTGACTGCATTGTGCCAAGTGTAAAGTTTGGTGGAGGGGGGATTATGGTGTGGGGTTGTTTTTCAGGAGCTGGGCTTGGCCCCTTAGTTCCAGTGAAAGGAACTCTGAATGCTTCAGCATACCAAGACATTTTGGACAATTCCATGCTCCCAACTTTGTGGGAACAGTTTGGAGCTGGCCCCTTCCTCTTCCAACATGACTGTGCACCAGTGCACAAAGCAAGGTCCATAAAGACATGGATGACAGAGTCTGGTGTGGATGAACTTGACTGGCCTGCACAGAGTCCTGACCTCAACCCGATAGAACACCTTTGGGATGAATTAGAGCGGAGACTGAGAGCCAGGCCTTCTCGTCCAACATCAGTGTGCGACCTCACAAATGCGCTTCTGGAAGAATGGTCAAAAATTCCCATAAACACACTCCTAAACCTTGTGGACAGCCTTCCCAGAAGAGTTGAAGCTGTTCTAGCTGCAAAGGGTGGACCGACGTCATATTGAACCCTATGGATTAGGAACGGGATGTCACTTAAGCTCATATGTGAGTCAAGGCAGGTGAGCAAATACTTTTGGCAATATAGTGTATATTATGCCAAGAGAGACATTTTCTGAATCTGATCTGCCTGATTTTTATTTTGTTGTTTGCTTTGTTTTAACACTGCAGCTCAGGAGAATTTCTTTATTTATGAAGAGCAGGGGTAGAAGGTTGGATTTTTCCTAAGTAGGTTGATGAAGTCTCTGTTGTAGTTTTCTCACCAGATGGTAGATTTCATTGATTGATCTCAAGTTCTGTGCTTCTTGGATGTTGAGAAACTTTCATGTCATCAACACTCTCCACCATTCATATGGAACGAGATGGTCCAGGTTCTGCCTCAATTCCCTGTAGGTTTTTAGTACCAGATCACTTTCTGAGCACCATAAGCCAGAACCTCTCATGGCTTGCATCATTGCCCATTATCAGCCCTGCTTTAGCAATGTGGCAGCTATCCTCACCCAGACGTTAGAGGGAGAGCTGAAGTCTGAAGTGTGAAAAGGCAATGTGAAAATATAGATGGATGATGGTTGATTTCCTAATAAATTATTTTATGGATTTTTAAAACAAAACTTCTGTAACAAGGATATCACACAAAAACCCACGACTTTGATTAAAACATCCCATCTTCTGCTGCAGATCCAGTTCAGCTTCTCCACAAAGAGCAGACCCGTAACGAGGCGTCCGCCCCACCCAGCTTATCAGGTTTATATTATGGGACAAAGATACCTCCTGCTGACAGTGCATCGTCTGTTCTAACTACAACAGCCCAGAGGACTTCACCACTGGATAAAGGTGACAATTATTCTAAGAAAAGAAATGTCAAACACTCTTGTTTAACATGATCTATGATGTCTTTCTTTTTTTCATAAACAAAGCTTTTGATGTTGGGTTTGTTGGAGTGAAAGTTGAAATTCACCTTAAAATTCCACAGTCTCAGACAGACATTTAATTTAATGCTAATGCGATGCTAATCCACAGGAGATAATGAGCACTGGTTCTGGTTTGTAATCATATGCAACACCAAATGGCCAGCTGAGGTCATTGAGTAATATTCCAACGGCATTACTGTATGATTTATTGTTTAAACATTTTAACATGCAAATGAAATGCAGAAACACATTTATTACATTTCCAGCCACATTTGTGCTGCCTCTAATTTAATGGGTCATGAAGGAACACATTTATTTCCAAAAGAAAATATTAATTCAACACTAAAATGCTGCCTATAAATATAAAAACAACTCTGAGAAAGTGGGCCTGAGATTTTATTTTTACTATCTGTAGGTTTAGATAGTTTTGAATCAACAGCACAGGTCAGCCCTAAGATGGAGCAGGAGGAGGAAGAAGAAGAAGAAGCATATGAAGACAGTGGTGAGTTTGTTTTCTTTTGGTTTGTTTTTCCAGCAGATTTGGAAAAACAGTGATATCGTCATTAACCAGAGCAACGAAATGAACTCTCTGCATTTAGCCCATCCCCTTGGGGAGCAGTGCGCTGCCACTGTCTTGGTTAAGGCGGTCTTGCTCACCGACCCGGAGCAGCAGTCTGTGGGAGTGGGGCTCGAAGTCAGAACCTCAGGATTCCAAGCACAATGCCCTAACCACCAGGCCGCCACTACCCAAAGCAGGCATTAGCATGAAGTGTCTTGCCTAAAAGACCCACACTGGCAGCTACCCAGGCTTCCTGTTTGCAGGACGGGTGACTGACCACTTGAGCTAGCCAGCAGCTAAGAGATACAGTAGTTGTTTTCCTCACACATGATATTTGCTCTTTAGCGTCTCTGATGAATGTTCCATAGATTTATGAGTAGGAAAAACATGCATTACTTATATTTGCTGGTAAATCCAAATATTCACAGATTTTCAGTCTGAAGAAAAGGGAAAGGGTTTGTAGAACCAGCATCAGCATCCGTTCCACCCAGAAGCTGTTTCTCTTCAGTCTTTTAGATCAATGTGAAAACAGTTATTCTTTTCAATCTTGCTTCAATTCATTGGGATTTACAGAGAATTTTTTTCTGTTCATTTCCATCCATCCATCCATCCATCCATCCATCCATTTTCTAACACGCTTAATCCCAAGTAGGGTCGCATGGGGTGCTGGGGCCTATCTCCAGCAGTCAATGGGCAAGAGGCGGGGTACACCCTGGACAGGTCGCCAGTCCATCGCAGGGCAACACAGAAAAAAAAGGACAAACACTAACTCACGTACACACTCCCACCTAAGGATAATCTAGAGAAGCCAATTAACCTAACAGCAGCGGCGTAGGAAGCGGGGGGGACGGGGGGGGACATGTCCCCCCCAAAATAAAAGCCAGGTGGATATGTCCCCCCCAAAAAATTGTACCGCAAAATATTAGATTTTGACATTTTTTTACTAGCGTGCTTTTATTTTGAAGGCGCAGCATAGCGTTACGTCACTGTACTCCCCCTCCCCTCTCTGAACTGCTGAGTGAGAGTGAAGGGAGGGAGACAGCGATACAGAAGTCAGAAACTTGTGAAAGAGGTAAAATGGTCTGTCGGGATGCTGCCTATTTAAAACGTCTTTGTTGTCAGTTCACTTTCATATATACAGGTGCTGGTCATAAAATTAGAATATCATGAAAAAGTAGATTGATTTCAGTAATTCCATTTAAAAAGTGAAACTTTGTATATTATATTCATACATTACATACAAACTCATATATTTCAGATGTTTATTTTGTTTAATTTTGATGATTACAAATGACAACAAATGAAAATCTCAAATTCATCATATCAGAAAATTAGAATATTACTGAAGACCAATAAAAACAAAGGATTTATAGAAATGTTGGCCAACTGAAAAGTATGAACATGAAAAGTATGAGCATGTACAGCACTCAGTATTTAGTTGGGCCTCCTTTGGCCTGTATTACTGCAGCAATGCGGCGTGGCATGGAGTCGATCAGTCTGTGGCACTGCTCAGGTGTTATGATAGCCCAGGTTGCTCTAATAGTGGCTTTTAGCTCTTCTGAATTGTTGGGTCTGGTGTATTGCATCTTCTTCTTCACAATACCCCATAGATTTTCTATGGGGTTAAGGTCAGGAGAGTTTGCTGGCCAATTAAGAACAGGGATACCATGGTCCTTCAACCAGGTACTGGTAGCTTTGGCACTGTGTGCAGGTGCCAAGTCCTGTTGGAAAATGAAATCTGCATCTCCAAAAAGTTGGTCAGCTGCAGGAAGCATGAAGTGCTCTAAAACTTCCTGGTATGTGGCTGCGTTGACCCTGGACCTCAGAAAACACAATGGACCAACACCAGCAGATGACATGGCACCCCAAACCATCACTGACTGTGGAAACTTTACACTGGACTTCAAGCAACGTGGATGAAGTGCCTCTCTTCTTTTCCTCCAGACTCTGGGACCTTGATTTCCAAAGGAAATGCAAAATTTACTTTCATCAGAGAACATGACTTTGGACCACTCACCAGCAGTCCAGTCCTGTTTCTCTTTAGCCCAGGCAAGACGCTTCTGACGCTGTCTGTGGTTCAAGAGTGGCTTGACACAAGGAATGCGACAGCAGAAACCCATGTCTTTCATACGTCTGTGTGTGGTGGTTCTTGAAGCACTCACTCCAGCTGCAGTCCACTCTTTGTGAATCTCCCCCACATTTTTGAAGGGGTTTTGTTTCACAATCCTCTCCAGGGTGCGGTTATCTCTCTTGCTTGTACACTTTTTTCGACCACATCTTTTCCTTCCCTTCGCCTCTCTATTAATGTGCTTGGACACTGAGCTCTGTGAACAGCCAGCCTCTTTAGCGATGACCTTTTGTGTCTTGCCCTCCTTGTGCAAGGTGTCGATGGTCGTCTTTTGGACAACTGTCAAGTCAGCAGTCTTCCCCATGATTGTGTAGCCTATAGAACTAGACTGAAAGACCATTTAAAGGCTTTTGCAGGTGGTTTGAGTTAATTAGCTGATTAGAGTGTGGCACCAGGGGCCATCAATTTTGAACCTTTTCACAATATTCTAATTTTCTGATATGATGAATTTGAGATTTTCATTTGTTGTCATTTGTAATCATCAAAATTAAACAAAATAAACATCTGAAATATATGAGTTTGTATGTAATGTATGAATATAATATACAAGTTTCACTTTTTAAATGGAATTACTGAAATCAATCTACTTTTTCATGATATTCTAATTTTATGACCAGCACCTGTAGAAACTGAATCTTTTTGGTTTAGTCATCTTAGTCTTGTACGAAAGAGGATTAGGGCCACTGGAAAAAAAAAAGTTAACTGATTTTTAAATTTTTTTTTAGTTTAACATGGGTAAAAAAGTAAGAATTCTGACTTTTCTCAGAATTCTGACTTTTTTCTTCTGACTTTTTTCTCAGAATTCTGACTTTAATCTCAGAATTCCGACTTTAATCTCAGAATTCTGACTTTTTTCCTCAAAATTCTGACTTTAATCTCAGAATTCTGACTTTTTTCTCAGAAATCTGACAGATGATTAATATTTCTAATCAATTTACAGTGTTTTTTTTTTTTTTTGGGGGGGGGGGGGGGGGGGGGGGGTACTATACAGATATATAAAAACAAGAAGGTCTAACTAAAAAAATAACCAGAATATATGTTTAGAGTAAAGATTTACTACTTGTACACAAGCACACAATTTCAAATCTGCTGAGCTTGCTGTGCAAGAAAATGTAAAATATACGTATAAAGAAATATAACAGGAAGTACTGCTAAAACAAACTAAATGTTAAATAATGTAGATATTGGTTTAAAAAATTCTTCAGATTTGGAAATTTGGAAGGAATACATAATTTTGAAATTAATCAACAAATCTGGTAAAAAATAAATAAATAAAAAATAAAAGTTGCACTTTTTTACTTGAGGAATTTGTTGAATAACTTCACAATTATGAGTTTAACTAGTTGGAGGTAATGCTACACTTCTCTGCTTCCTGTCCTGCTCATAAAAGGTAAACATTATAAACCCACCATTCATTTTCTACACTATTTGGAAAACACAACACAAATGTAATATAACAAAAGTATGTTTAAAAACAAACATGTTAGCATCAAGCCATAGCCATGTCTGTTTTAGAGACTAGCTCTCTTGTTTTAATGACCTTCTGCTCTTCCATTTATAAGGGGGACCCCTCGGGCACATCAAAAGTTGCCTAATTCTGTAATTTTTCACCAATATGTCACTGGCCATCTAAAAAAACTCAAATCTTATCGTGAAGTGAAACTCCACCTTTTTTTCTGTCCCATTACATTAAGATCCAAAAAATTTGAGATTAAAGTCAGAAATTTTGAGAAAAAAAGGCAAATTAGAGTTTAAAATCAGAAATTTGTGAAAAAAAAGCAAATTTGAGAAAAAAATCAGAATTCATTTTTTTTTGTATTAAAACGAAAAAATTTAAAAATCACTTTAAATTTTTTCAGTGGGCCCCAATCCTCTTTTGTGTTTGGGTGATCCATCTCAATATTTTAACTGTAATTTCTCTGATGTTTTTCCCCGAGCCAAAATGTTTTTTTTTTTTTTTAATATTCCCCTTTCGTACAATGCCCCCAAACTAAAGGCTTAAAAAGCAGTAATTATCAGTTTTAAAAAAGGGGAAATTAGTGTGAGTAACAGCCCCAAAAAACTTGTTTGAAAATTGCCCGGTCTGGGAAATTTTTTTTTTTTGTGTGGTTTTTTATTCGCCGAAATGGACGTGTTTTACCCGCCGCCTCCTGATCGTTAGTTTAAAAACCCCAGGGGAATTTAATTTTAATTCTTGCAGCGAAATGCCCCAAAAAACCCCTAATTAACCAACTAATTAACTTCTGCACCTTTTTTTCCCAAAAAAACTGTGGCTCCTCTTTTAGACATAAACGATTAACACAACATTGACAACTCAGTTTTCTCTGTTCTGTACTGAAATTTGGGAAATTTAAAAAAAGCCATTTCTACCCAAAAGGGCGGGAAGAGGCCACCCGCACCTCCGACCCCCCTAAAGGGGAAGGGGGGTAAGAAATGGAAGGATAGATGGATTTTTCCAAAAAATTAGAATGCGTTTTTGAACCGATGCTTAAAGCCCCCCTGTCCATTCTTTGCACACTTAGCTCCCCTGTCAGTCAATCTATATAAAATTTATTTTTGGGCCCTTATTGAAGTTTGACAAAAAAAACATATCAAACTTTGCATTCTGTGGGCCCATGAATTGTTTTTAATCAAAATGAATATTTTATTTTCTGGCGTATGCGGAACTAAATATGCAAAAAGGTTTAAGACCCTTTAAAGTTCCTTTGCTTAATAAAAAACTCCAGTCATTTTTTTTGGTGATATGTCACATCTTATGAACAAATGATTTTGTAAATTTTAAAAAGATTATTTTTGCAAGACACATTTTTTAAAG